TTTTGTTATTGTTCTATTTTATTTATTCTATTTTCTTTTTAGTTTTTTTTTTTTTTTTTTTTTGTAAAATTTATTTTAAATACTTGAATCATTGATGTAAAAATATTATTTATTAATACCTAAATGATAACGATGCTAAATATGGAACGGTTTTTTTTTTTTGTGTTGAAGGAAAGAAAAAATTGATCATATCAGTGAAATTCCCACATATCATATCAACGGTTAAAATTTTAACTCTTTTATATCATATCACTAACATTTATATGATTAAGACAATTTGATAGTATTGTCATTAAGTAAATAGCAATAATTAGCATAGGTAAATATTATCTGATCAATTAATATTTGATATGCTTTTAATTATCTTCTATAATCTAAATCATTTTACCTCTATACGAATATCTACAAAATTATTTATGTTAATGGAATTTATTTATTTCTAAGTTTTAATAATTTATGCAAGATAAGCTTGATTATTATCATTGCTTATCACAAAGGTATCATTTATTATCTTTGCATGTGCAAAAATTGCTGTCTAATCTAAACAATAACAATTAATTACTGGGTAAATAATAAATGCTTAAGGGAAATGTTGTGGGTAATAATTTAAAAGCAAAATTAAAAAATTTGAGTAAAAGTAACTTAAATATAGAATATTAACGGTGTAAAATATTAACATACATCTATCGAAGTGTCAAATATTACTACCATATACAGTAAGACTTTTTTCTTTTCAGTTTCATCTGATTCAAATCATAAATTTCAACGTAGTAGCGAAGTGATGAATGTACCTGTGGTACAATCAACCATTTTACCTGGTGATATGCTTGCAGCTAAAATACGCACCTATCTTTCTGTATGTTTATAAATTTTTTATTTGATTAAAAGAGAATTGGGATTGATTTAAAAAAAAAAAGGGTATTATTTTTTTAATATTACAAATGAACAATTTAATTTTAACAAAGATTTGCTTAATTTTCTTTAATAAAATTTGTTTTTTTTTAATAAAATTTGTTTTTTTTTGTCCAAATCTATAATATCAATTTTTTTATGATATATGAGAACTTTAGCAACCTGTAACCTGGCAACCATCAGCAGATCAACATCGTCTTATCGGACATATGATATTACATAAGACAAATGGTACACACGGTGATCTTGGCTTAAAGGTTTTCTTTTTTTTTTTTATTTTTACTAATTTTGCACTTCACTTTTTTTTCCTTTTTTCTTTTTGCTAATTGCTAGCAAGTTTCTAAAATAAAAAAAAAGGATAAAAAATTACGACAAATAAAAAGGCAGAGAGGGAGAGGATGAAATAAAATTTAGATTAAAAATGGATGAAACAAATGGTTTTATTAAAATTTTACCTTTATTTCATTTTTTTAAGTTATTTGCTGTTGAAAAGAAAGGAAAAAAGTAATGATTTAATTAATGATTTAAGAAATGAATAACAATAATAATAAAAAGAAAAGAAAAATTCATTTACCAATGTTGCATTGCTACTTTTTATTACTTATTTTCAAATAAAAATTGCTACTATAAATTGTCAATTAAAAATTAATTTATAATATATCCATTGAAATGGATCTTTTTTTTTCTAATATCTAAGATATTTCTTCAATATGAAGTTGTTTGATAAAAAAATTATTTTTACATTTCGCATCTTCCCAATGTCTTTTTTTCCACCTTTATAAGTTATCATTGAAAATAAATATCTAGTTTTTTTTTTTTTTTTTTTATTAGTATTTCACCAGAAATATCCGAAACTTTTTTCCTCATCCAATATCCTTTACCAATTACTTTTTAATGATACCAATAATTTTATTCCAAATAATAATTATTTGAAGGTTGTTGGAGGTCGACGATCTGATACCGGTCGTTTAGGTGCATTTATCACACGTGTGAAACCTGGATCTGTTGCTGATACTGTTGGCCATCTTCGGGAAGGTTTGCTTTGCAAATATTTCTGGGATAATTTTTATATAAATTGCGCAATTATCTCAGTTATTTCAAGCATATGATTAATATTTCACAATAAATTTTTTAAATATGAAATTGATCAGCAAATATAACATTTTAGTTAAAAGATGAATGAATAAAATAACGAATGAGTAAAAAAATATAGAAATATCGATTTATCATAATCATTTACTTATTAACTATCAATTAATAATTATTTAGTTTATTTGAATTAAAAGCAAAAAAAAAAAAACAGCTATGCTATCATTATCCACAAGAAAACTAGAAGAGAGAAAGAGAGAGAGAAAGGGAGAAGATAATTTCAGGTGATGAAGTATTAGAATGGAATGGTCGTCAATTACAAAATGCTACATTTGATCAAGTTTATGATACTATAAATTTATCAAGGCATGATACACAAGTTGAATTGATTGTTTCACGTTCAATGAGGTGGCAAACTTCTCATTTTCATTCCTTTATTAATTAAATTATGCATAATTATTGAGGGATATAAATTAGGAAAAGTCTTAAACTTGCTCAATTCATTAAAAAACTTTTTCCAATCATCAAATCATTTTTAATCTTATCATTACTTAATCACTACTAAATCACTACTAATCATACTAATCATTACTAACTTGTTGCCATATCATAAGTATAATTATTTCTTTTTTTTAGCTCAATTTTTTTTTTAAATCATCTACCATTGCAAATTTTTCAGTTATTTTTTGCTGTTGCTAATTTTTATGTACAAATACTTGCTCTAAATGACTTAATTAGTATCTTATCATTCCGTAGTAACTTAATTAACATCTTATCAGTATATGCAAATAAACGATAAAGTTGACATCTTTAGTTGATCAAACTGATTGATTATCATTAAGCAAAATATTTGTTCCAAAGTTATTGAAGGTTCTTTCAATCATTTATGTAAGCAACTAACTATCAGTAACATATTAATGTTTGATAGCAACTTATATATCTATTTATATCTATCTATCTATCTATTTATTTATCTATCATGTCATTTTAAGGAATCTATCTACCTATCTATTTATCTATCTATCTATCTATCTATTTATTTATTTATTTATTTAATCATCTATTATGTCATTTTAAGGAATCATTTAGTATCATTTAATCACAATTAAGTGATAAATAGATTAAATACATTGATATAGGATGAAGAAAACAAAGCAGGATTAGATGAAAAGTGGCGATTGTATAAGAATGTCATATCAAATTCATATTTTATTATTGGGAATTGCAATTTATTTATCGAATTTCTCCTCAATAGAAACATTAAGGAGAATTGAAAAAAAAAGAAAATTATATCAATTATATTACATTCATTTTTATTCTTTCAAATGACCCATTAATTTCTTTCTTTCTTTTTTTGATAACAAAAAAAAAAGTTTCCAATTATAAACAATATTTTCATTTTCCATCTTCTTTTTTTCCTGCACTTATGAAAAGTTTATTA